AAAGAACCAGGGAGCAGGCCAAATAGGTCACAACTTTTCTTTCACAACAAATTGAAGAGGAAGGATCTTGCAACAGACCCAAAACTCAAAAGTCATCTACATCTGAAAGACATGTATGAGGAGTAGTCATTTCCAAATGATTCTCAATACTAGCAATAAAGCTACCTGCAAGGTTACCTAACAAAGTTAGAAGACAGACATTGCCTGACTTTAAAAGCTATAGCAATTAAGATAGGGAGTATTGCAGAAAGAACAGGCAAGTAAATCAATGGATAAAATAGTCCAGAAATGAATCTATATAAAGTGCAGTCAACTGATCTTTGTCAAAGGAGCAAAATCCACGCAGCAGAAAAAAGATAATATTTTTTTCCACAAATGGTGCTGGAATAAGTAGACATCCAGGTGTAATAGTCAATATGAGTATAAAACTCACAAATTTCACAAAAATTAACAAAGAATAAATCATAGACCTAAACATAAAATTAAAAACTGTAAAATGTTCTAGAAGATGACATAGAGCAAATCCAGGTAGGCTTGGGTATGGCAATGACTTTTTATGTACAATTCTAATGGCACAATCCATGAAAGAAATAATTTAGACTTTATGATAATTAAAAGCTTTTGTTATGTGAAGGCCACTATCCAAACAAAAAAAAAAAAAAAAAAAAGGAAGGTGAACCACAGTCTGAAAGAAAATATTTGTAAAACATCTCTAATAAAGGAATGTTATCCAAAAAAATACATTTTAAAAAAATACTTTAGACTCAACAATAATAAAATGAATGGCTATTTTAAAATAATAATTGAAAGCTCTAAAGAGACACTTCAGAAAGGAGATAGATGGCGATTAAGAAAAATGAAAATATTTTCAGCATCATATTTTACTAGCAAAGTATGAATTGAAATAATTAGATCCTATTGCACACCATTAGAATGGCCAAAATTTAATGCACTGACAACACCAAACATTAGTGAGGCTATGAAACAAGAGCATTTCTTATTACAGTGGGAATGCAAAAGGTTTCAGCCACTCTAATGGGTAATTTCGTATTTTTACAAAGCTAAACATCCTCTTTCCATATAATAGGGATCCCCTTTCCACATAATAGAGAAATAACACACCTTTGTGTTTACCCAAACGAGTTAAAAATTTTTAGCCACACAAACACCTGAGGACAAATTTAATAACTGCCCAAACTTGAAAGCAATCAAAATGTGCTCCAGTAGAGGAATGGACTCATAAACTGGTACATTCAGACAATGGGATACTGTGTTATTCACCACCAAGCAGAAATGAATTATCAACCATGAAAAGACCCGGGGAAACCCGAAATGTGTATTTCTATGGGGTAGGCCAACCTGAGTATGACTTTAATTGCACTAGTCCAATTTCTGTTACTACAGTGAATACCTGGGGGTGGATGGTATATAAACAGAAGGTGTTTACGGAGCTCACTGTTTGGGAAGCTCAAGAGCTGTGCTGACACTGGCTTTGTGCTGGCGAAGACATCAGGGTAGAACATGGTACCACACGGTGAGAACGCATGTGGAAAGAAGGAGCACACCGCCCTTTCCCTTTCTCACGTGTTGACCCCAAGTCAAATGGAGGCCCTGCGGGGTGGGAGGCGGAAGAGGGGAAGAGGAGAAGAGGCCTTTCTGCCTACCAGGAATTGAGCACGTACAGGCGGAGGGAGGGGAAGAGGAGAGAAAAACAACCGTGCTTTTTTTCCTGAGCCACAGAGCCACAGGCTCTGGTGAAGGAAAAATAAACAAAAGCTTTATTTGTTTTCCAAGAAGCACGCCTACCAAGGCCTCTTCAGGGAAAAGAGGCCCAGAAGGTGCCAATTAAAGTCATTTTCGCCACAGCGTGTGTGTGTGTGTGTGTGTGTGTGTGTGTGTGTGTGCGTGTGCGCGCGCGCGCGTGTGTGTATTGCTGAAAGTGGGAGGTATGTGTGGGAGTTTATTTTTACCCACCTCTTGAATACATTTCCAGTTAAGGAATTTTGGCATTTACTTACTATTTTTCCCTTTATGCTTCCAGGCTGAAATTCCAAATGCTCCCTACACACTGTCCTCTCTCTCTCTGTCCTACTCAGGTGCTCCTTGTCCTGCCTCCTCCTTTGCCCTCTTCATTTATAGCGTCATTTTCATCACAAAGATTTTTTTGATCTGTCCCAGGCTGACATCAGTCAGGCTTGTTTTTATTTCATAGAGGCTTTTGTGTGTATTGAGTTCTCCCCCGCATTCAATCTCTTACTTCTTAAAGGTCCCACCACACCGACCCCACCACCCTGGGAATCAAGCTTCGGGCACATGAGTCTTTAGGGGAGAAATCAAACTCACACTCCACCCCTGGGACCCAAGTTCGCAGGCACCTCAAGCTAAATGCATTCATTCCGCTCCAGTATTCTGGATGTCTTACTTAATTTCATCATCACTCAAAGTCCAAGTTCAGAATCTCATCTGAGAGTCAAGGCAATTTCTTTTCAGTTGTTATCCTTTAAGATAAAAAAACAAGTTACATGTTTCTAAGGTTACGTGATGGGATAGGCACACCATACACAAACTTTCTTATATGAAAAGCAAGAAGTCACAGGCCTCAGCGAGTCCAAAAACCAGTAGGGCCATCTTTAAATATTAAAGCTCTGAGCTTTACATCCTGTGCACACCGGGGTTGAGGGTGGGCCACCAAATTTCGGCTGCTCTCACGGCTTTGCTGTGCGCAGTGCTACTTGCTCTACGCGCTCTGCCCTACTCCAGGAGTTCCAGGAGGTGCTATCCCACTGGAGGCTCTCTGTGGCCATTTTGTACCTTCCCAGGGTTCCCTTGAATCTTCTGTGGAAACTGCAGTGACCCCATGGCTCCTGAATTCTGCCTGCTTGCTGAATTAGCACCATATGGACACTACCAAGATCTGCTGCTTGCTGTCCTCAGAGTGAAGCATGAGCCATGCCGGGCCCTCGAGGACCACAGCTGCGTGACTGACTGTAGAGCTCTTCACTGGAAATAGGGGAGCGGGATTCTGAGGTGGCCTTGGGCAGGGACCCGGTGGACATTTTTTGAAACCATTCTGCCTCGAAGTTCTCTGGGCCTGTGATGGGAGGGGTGGCCATGCACACCTCTGAGATGCCCTTGGTGCCTTTTTCCGATCATCCCAATGCACAGTATGTGCGTGCCCTCTTACCCATGCCAATCTTTTTAGCAAGCGGTCTCCTCTTTCCCTTCTCCTTGCCCAGACAGAAGTGTCCATTTTTTTTCCTGCTGTTTCTTTTTTTAATTATAAATTATGCCTATAAATTACCTTTATTCTTTTTCCTCTCAGCATACGTGGTTAAAAATGTGCTCATCACTTTTCTATAATTTGTATAGAAATGACTTGCCCGATACCTTAGGCCACAATTTTCAAACATGGAATTCCACAAAGCCCAGGGCATGGGTACAATGCAGCCAAACTCTTTGCAATGAAGTGACAAGGGTGGTCTTTAATTTGTAATGGGCTTATTTTCATTTCCATCGGATAGCTCACCCACTTGTCCTTTACTGTCCACATTTGTATCTGGCTATGAACATTTGACCAACCCTAAGTGTCATCTCTTTCCTAGTCTCCTTGTCTTCTGAGGCGTCACCAAAACCACCTACGATGCTGGGTACCACCATATAGGCCTTTTCCCATCTCTTCCTCCAAACTCGTTATTCCATTCTGAAGCTGTCTTCACATTTTCAGATGTCTGCATAGAAACAACCCTACTCTTTGGTACCAATTTCCTGTCTTAGTCTATTTTGTGTTGCTCTAACTCAAGGATCAGAACTTTATAAAGAAAAGAGGTTTACTTGCTTCACTACTTTGGTGGCTAGAGAATCTAGAAAGCAGGTCACCGGCATTCTGACAAGGGCCTTCTGGCTCCATCACAACATGGTGGAAAGATGGGACGGGAGATATCCACATGCGTAAGGGCTAAGCATGTGGCTGACTTTGCTTTATCACAATCTGATTTTGAGATAGCATTGACCCACTCAGAAGGGCGGGTCCCCACGACCTAGTTACCCTTCACCAGGCTCCACTCTCAAAGGTTCCACTGCTTCAGCTCCACTAGGCTTCCAGTGCATGGATATTTAAGGACAAGCTGCATCCGAACCATAACAGCTTCTGAAGAAGAGGTGTGGATTTTTATTTTCCATTACTGTCAGGGATCCTATGTTTGTATATCAAAAGTGATTGCAGCAGTGTAAGCACCCAGCCACAGGAGGATCTCTGCACATAATCCTGGCAGAAAAATAGGCTATAATGTGCCAAAAGCATAACATTTGAGTTTTTAATAAAATCTGCTGAAACATTCTAAAGTGTCTGCTGAGTTGTGTGGATATTGAATAAGTCAGTTATACTTCAGTGCTTTTAATTCTTTTGTATATTATGTACAGACACAAATTCCCTATGATGAAAGTGATCATTATATATATATCAAAAGTATACCAATAAAATAAATTTAAAAATTCTTTCACAGGGTGAGCTGGTTGGTCCACTCCGAGATCAAGTTTCCTAGGACAGTCAGCATTGGTTTTTCTTAAGGAGCACTGTGTAGCATAATCTTCTCTTTTGAAATAAGCTTGTCATTAAAATGCTCAGCTGTGCATCCTCTTAAAAAAAAAGTTCTTTCACATAACCCAAAGGTATATTTTATGTCATGACTCGGAGTATATTCTTGTGAGAATTTGGTGAAAAACACATGCCCTTATCACATTATGCATTTCAATAGTTTCTACTTTTTCTATAGTATAAAAAATAAAAATTTAAGTTCTTCAGGATCCCAAGATTGAAGTAGCTTTAGTCTACAAATATTATTGAGTATCTTCTGCGTACCTCATTGTAACGGATGGGGATAAAAGGAAATAGGATGTAGATTATGCCTCACAGGCCACTGGGGAAAATAAGACATAAATATTACAGAATAGCATGAAAATGCAAATCTGTGAAAGCGCCGTGGGAGCTTAGCCTGGAAAATCTGAAAACATCCTTTGAGAGCGGAAGACATGTAGCCAGTGTTTGATGGGAAGTGGGTAGGAATTTTGTAAACAAGGAACATGTGCTATGAAGGTGCTCCTAGACTGTTATTTTTTAAGAGGAGCCACATACAGAATTTGGTTTATATACACAGGGCTTTATCACTTTTCTCTGGAATTTAGGCCATCTCCTCTCTCTCCCCTCTTCCATTTTAGGAGAAATATTTTGGTAATGGGGAATTGTCACACTATTGGCTGCCTAGCAATACAACTAGACCATCAAAATCAATCTTTCAAAGGAAATCACAAAACAGGATAGATTTCACCACAGAAATGCCACTCTACATAATTTTGTGAGAGTAATTGCCACAGGAGCTATCAGGAATAGCTCATACCAAGCTGGATGAGACCTGCCGGGAATCTTCATTCTGACTGTGCTGGGGATACAGAAAACACTGAAATCAGCCACACTCGAATGCTTCGTGTTCTGGGAAAGGGGCTGGACCAGCAGAAATGAGTGGTGCCATAAGAGGGGGCTTCAAATTCTGGAAAAGAGTACAGTGGACTTCAGAGGACACTTCCTAGAGGAGGGACACCTGAAATCCAGGTATGTGTTCATCAACTTTAGAAGCTGTAAATTCCAGTCCTGTAAGGGGTTAGTCAGACAACCAAAACAACTGATGCCTTTCCTATGAATAACACAACAAGATGTGGTGGGATTAGGGGCAAAGCTAGAGTCACGGCCAGTCTAAAGGAAATTGTGGGTCTGGCCAGGAAGGGGAAGATCCATGGTTTTCTTAAAAAACCAAATCAGAGAACTCATAGCTTTATAGAAAATTCCCAAATTTTGTTTAAATACTTTGTATGCCAAATAAAATACATCTGTTAGTAGCTGAGATCACTTGTGATCAGTGTTTAACACACTCAGTTAATATGCCATTTCAAAACTTCCTTATTGAAAAGTAAAAATGTTCTGCTTGGAAATAAAGTCACACTTTAGTGTGAATTAGTACATTAGATCACCTCCCTAATGAAGTAATGGAAACTAGGGTTTTTTACTTAAAAAAGTAATGGTTTTGATACTAGGAAAATAACCCATAATATCCTAGAAACTATGTCTTAGATGGAAAAGGATGAAGTCTGTGAACCTGTGTGTCAGTATAGACTGAAACATCGGGAAGGAAAGGCATTGAGCTAGAAGATTCCAGTAGAGATAGTTTCTTTTTCTTTCCTTCCTATTTCTACTTTCTTAACAGAGTTGGGGGAGGGGAGAGTGTTCAGCAAGGGTGAGCTCTGGTTACTATTTTGAGTTAGTAATAAATTGTCTTTTTCTTGTTTTCTTTCAGGAACTCCTGTTTTCTCACTAACACAGATCACCGTCATGCTTCTCCAGGATTTCTACCTCCCTCTCAACCTCTGCTGGCTTCTGTTTGGGTGGATCATATGGGAAAGTATGTAATGGAAAAGGAGCCTGGGAAAAGGGATTAGAGGCTGGATATGGAAAGTGACATGGACACAGGAGCAGGCTTTTTCCCATAAAGGAGCAGGTCCCCACTGGAGCTCATGGGAAGGTGAACCTTAGCAGCTTCTTCCGCCCCATCTCTCCACACGCTATGCCTTCCCCTTCTTCAAAGAGGACAGATAGCTGGAATCACTGGGCTTGGAGGGATTACAGGTGGCAAGAGGTGAGCACACCAGGTACCAGAAATGCAAACATTCTACCAGAACAAAGCACCGAGGAAACCTTGTCAAACACTCACAGACAACCAAGGGTTCTGCTGCACAAAGAACATGTACCAAACACTCAGAGTCAAAAGGCCCGTGTGATTCAAGCCAGTGTGTACAAAGCCTTTAAAAACATTCCACTGGCAGTCCTCGTAAGTACTGGAAACACCACACACTCTGACTTTTATTTGTAATCAAAGACCTGGAAGCCTTCCTGGGGGGCACAATGAGGAGTTCAAAGGAGTCCGTACCTTGAGTAACTTGTGAGTAAATGCTGGCATGCCCAGGCTGGACTTGTGCTACTGGGAGAACCAGACAAGCTAATGGGAAGGAAGGGGTACACTGTCCTCATGAAGGACGAGCAGCATTAATGCCCTGGACATGAAGAGATTCTTTTTCCCTCCACATACGTTGTTGAGCTCCTCCAGCAGCCTGGTTCTTGCCTACCTGCCAGTTGGGAGCTTTGAAGCACGGATATCAACAATTTATTCCTACACTTTTAGGACTAACGTTTAGAAGTAGAAAATAGAAACATCCTGAAAGGTGAAATGCAGTACAGAGGAAACAAACATTTATGTGGGATCTACGCCAACTGGGCACCCAAACGGGCGTTGTAGAGTATATGCGTCACTGCTTGTTTAAGGGAGGAGAGGACAACTGTCGCTTCTACCTCTCAAACAGGCACTTGTAGTTATGCCTGTGGTTTCTTTTGCAATTCAGTTTTCTCGTAAACTCGGAAGGCGTCTGCAGTATTTTTCTTTCAGTAAATTTGATATCCAGGGTACACTGAATACTCTACTAACACTTTACAGCCTACCTTACTCAATGGCTTCCCTGCCTTCATTCCTCTCCCGGCTTCTCTCAATTTAATTGGAGCTAACTTGAATGCTCCTGTGCCAGAGCAATGACACATTGCATTTGTGTCCCCACCCCTGAGGTAAAGAACTGAATCCTAACAAAGGTAAGAAATGTTTTCAAAGTTACTAGACTAATAATAATTTGAGTTTCTCTCTCACATTCCCCAGACTCCAACATTCAGTGTACTTTATCTTTTGGCAAGCAAGTTAGAAAATTTCAGCATTTCTAAAATACTTTAGAGGTAGTTAAGGCTAGCCTCCCCCATAATGTCTGAGAGGCCTACGATATGAGGTCAGGTCTGGACAAAAAAATGAGGAGGATGTCTGGATAAGAGGAGAAAATAAAAATCATGCTAGAGAGAGGGAGAAAAGAGAGGGGAGGAGAGGAGAGGAGAGGAGAGGGGAGGGGAGGGGAGGGGGAGAAAGGAGGGGAGGGGAGGGAGGGGAGAACAAGTGTATATGTTAGGGAATGGTGATCTTGGTCTCAGTAAAACCCAAACCTAATCCAAGGTGCCCATTCTTGGAGTATTCTGCTGAGAATGTAGTATCTTTATTGTGTCTAATTTTGTTACCACAAAAGAACAAACAGAGGAAGACTGAAAATGTACTTTATATTAAAGTCAAACTATGGGGGTCAAGAACTACATTTATTGAACCCCATTGATGTTTAGTTTCCTCACCTGTAAAGTGTAAATAAAGATACAATCTTGTACATTCATTCCAAAGGTAAAAGAAAACCCTACACTGGAGAAAGAGCTCATAACAGTATGTAGATCATAATAGTAAACATATCACCCTATCCTCTCAAAAATACCTCTTCTATTTCATAGTTACACTGTAAAATTTGATTCTATAATTTCTTCAGAATGATGACAGTTCCAGAAGAAATTGATATTGAAATAGTTTTGTGAAACAACCAGGAGGGGCAAAATCAGGATGTAGAAATTTGCTTTAGTGATCAATTACTCCCCACCAAAACATCAACAGGACTCTGGATATTTATATGTGGTACGTTAGATATCAGGTCATCATCTCAGAGTTCAATTCAGATCCTGATTTCTGCAGTCTATGAGCTCTCCATCCCCCTGATATACCTCCATGGCTTTATCATCTTCGGTCAGCAGTTCTTAACTTTTTAGCAGATCACCACCTCATTTGAGATTTGAAAGAAGTTATGGTTCCTTTTTTTTCAAATGTATGGGTTCAATCTTACATTTGTTAAATATTTATTGAACACCTAATCTATGCAATCTCAGCACTGTGTTCAAATAGTGCTGAAGACACACTCTTGAATAATAAGAATACCTTTTCTTGCTCTCAAATGGAGGTCATGAGAAGACTTTGCACAACTAATTATTCATACTGGCTGAAGTACTGATTCACAGAGAGGACTTATGGGCCAAGGTAAGGCAGTGCGATATCTCAACTAATCTGGAGGGGACGGGACCAATTTTTTGGATAAGAGCTGAAGAGTCAGTAGAATTTAGCCTCCCCAAGGGAAGGGTGAGACTCAGGTAGAGAAAACTCTCCAGAAAGACTGAAGCATAGGGGTTAAGGCCCTGAGCTAAGGAGGAAAAGTACATATTTAAGAAATGAAAGGCGATAGATTGTGATGGTCCTGAGTTTTCATGCCACCCTTTATTTATCCTATGCTAAATGCCTTCAATATTTTTGTCACAGACGAGGTGGCATCTATTTCTATACTTCGTGGATCTGGGATGGCATGTGAGAGAAGTGATATTTGCCTGTTCCAAGCCTAGAGATGAGAGCCATGTGAGGACATTAGTTGCTTCAGTGTTTTTCATGATTACTTCTCCCTGGATTTAGTGGTGGTTTGCAGCATATTTTTGGCATTAGTAACTGATCAAATTACACAAGGGTCAGAGGAAATGGTGTAGTATGAAACAGGAGGAGTAGCTAAAGCGCTGACTATTCACCTTGTTATAGATCTTATACTGCAAGAGCACTGGAGGATATCAATCAGGGGAATAACATCTGCATTGTCTTTCCAATGTCTAAAATAATGTCTAAAATAAAAATAATAACAATAGAAATGAGAAGATGTATATTTTACATTTAGAATGTAGCAGTAATAGGACTTTGACTAATTGGATATGGAAATTGAGGGCAAGGGTAGTATTGTGTGTCTACCAGATTAGCTTGTGTGCTGGATGGATGATGATACCATCTCCTGCTATAGGGGAAATTGAAGAAGGATGAGTTATAGGACTGAGAAAGATCAGGAGCTCATCTTTGGCCCTGTTCCCTTTGAGTTGCCTATAAGACATTGCATAAGACTGTTTGCTAGAGAGTTGGATATATGTACATATCCTTATAAGAGAGGCCTGGGCTAGAAGTCATAGTTTTGGACTCGTGAATGTATAGATGTTCATCAAAAACCACAAATGTGAATGAGATCACACAGAGAAAGACTATACAATGGGAAAGTGAGAGAGCTTATATCCAAGATTTAAAGAACCAACAAACATAAAAATATATGAATCTTGGCTGGAAAGATGAGAAGTAAATCAAGAGTACAGATTATCATAGAGGACAATGGGAAAGAAATTTCAGTAGAGATTCCAGTGTAAGATACACAAGGAAAAGAAAAATATATCCATTGAACTTATTGCTATAGAGGCCACTGGACTTTTCTAAAAAGCATACATTTGTTTACACTCTCAAGAGGATCATGGAATTGTTCACTTCATACAACTGAAGACCAAATTAAAATTTACCTATGGCTTCCGAACAAGGTAATATAAGTGGATCCAAAGTATTCACTTTGTTCTTTTAAAGGAAAGGAAAGTAGTTTGGTTGTCTTTAAGGTCAATTGAAATTATACAAGCTTTATGTCCTCAAGTCACTGGTCCAAAGAAAAAGGATATATTAATATAAATAAGACAGCTTCTTTATTTTCCCATTGGGAAGTCCATTCCTCTGCAAGCATTGGAAATATCTGGTAAATCAACTGTGGGAGACAGCTGCACTGGTATGAAGCTCAATCTGGTATCCCCAATCTATTTTTCATGCATGGCCAACAGTGACTTCCTCTCTCTCTGGAAACTAATCTTCCTGTTTGGACCTAGCTGTATTATTCTTAACTCAGTAAGAAATAATGGGCAACGATGAGTAAAATCTGGGAATTTGGGATAAGTTATTCCAGAAAACTATACTCAGAAACACGTAAGTCTGACAGGAGAGGGTGGAAAGGTCTCAATAGACTTCCAGCTCCACACAATGGACTTGCTCCTTCCTGATTACTCAACCAATAAGCCACGTTTGTACTGACTTGAACCAACTATTGCATAACTTGACTCCTCCCACTCTTGAGCAGCTCTGATTAACAGACAGTTTGTCCGTTTAGTTTTTCCCTGTTAGTTATAGTCTAGTCTCTGGATCTTTATTTTCATTTCCTAGGTCTGCCACAAATGTGATGATCTGAAACAACAAAAATGTATTCTCTTGCATTTCTTGAGGCTAGCTGTCCAAAAGCAAGAAGCCGGGACAGCTGCACCCATTCAAAATCTCTAAGGGAAATTTGTTTCTCCCAGCTTTGGGTAGCTCTAGGCATTACTGTTTGTGGCCACATTGCTCCAATTTCTGCTTCCGTGGTCACATAGTCTTCTCTTCTCTATGTGTCCACAAGGATCCTTTTCACTGGCTTTGGAGCATGCCCAGATAATCCAAGATGATGTCATCCCATGACACTTAGACCTCAAGTTACATCCACACAGAGGCAAAGAAAGTCATATTAATAGATTCTGGGGGGAAGAATACAGACTTATATTTGGTGATCACAATTCAGTCCCACCCAACCTTCAGAAAGAACACTTCTGTTTCTCCTCTCCCACAGAACTGCTCTTCTACTGTTTGAAGGTAACTATTTGGTTTTCTTGTTCAAACTAAGAGAAAAAAATGACTGGCATTTCTGAAGACCTGCTATATTCTAGGCGTGAAACAAAATAATATTATACGTAATTTCTATCTTCTTCCACCTCTTTTATTAAATTTCCTTTTTGTGAGTTATTACAGGTGGTGATCTTTTTGATTCTTGCTGCAGGAAAAGGTAAGGGGAAGGTAATTGCTATGGTTTAGATTTAAAGTGTTCCCCAAGGTCTTATGTACTCATAGGTGGGGCATTTGAAGGTAACTGGATTGTAAGAGCACTATACTTAATCCTCCAAGAGTGTGCAGCAGAATGGGAAGTTAGTGGGTAGGGCCTGGTCTGCAAAAGTAGGTCCTTCGGGGCACGACCTGCAAAGATGTGTCCCTCGCCCTGGCTTCTCCTTTATCTCTCTGCTTTCTGGCTGCCAGCGGTCCAGCACCTTTTTCTGCACCATCCTCTTCTGCCTCTTCTGTTTCTGCCTTGGAGCCAGCCAAAGCAAAATATAAATCTATATCCTTATGCCCAGAATCTATTAAGATGACTTATTTATTTTCATTTGAAAAATGGGTCTGTGTGGATGCAATTTGAGGTGTAATGTCATAAGATGACATTATCTTGGATTCTTTGGGCATGCTCTAAATCAGCTGCTCTATTTGCCCGTGGGGAAGTCCGTCCCTCTGCAAGCACTGAAAACATTTGATGAATCAACTGCAGAGAGAAGGCTGCACTGGTATGAAGCTTAGTCTGGTATTTTCAATCTATTTTTCAGGCATGGCTAACAGAAACTTCCTCTTTCTCTGGAAAGCAATCTTCCTGTTTGAACCTAGCTGTACTATTCTTAAATCAAGAAGAAATAGTGGGCAACAATGTGAGTAGAGAGGGTTACCGATTACTGTAAGCAACCAGGAAATAAAGCCTAGGAAACATACAAAATCCCCAAGGTCACAACCCCATGAACCATTGCATATAGTATGTGTTATTAATCCCCTAGGCAGCCTTAAGGCCAATCAAGTTTTCAGTCTAGCTTAACTGTCACAAGATCAAACATGGTAAATCCTAAAGTTGTTGACTCAGTGACTGTCTACTATCTGATAGGTTCCCATATTCTTCTCAATGTGAAAAACTAGTAGTGACTGGCTACAGCAACCAACTCCTCTATTCTTTTTGTACCCTGCAACACAAGAAAGACCAAGAAATGTCCTTATTTATTATTCACTAGACATAAACTGGCACTGGGCAGAACAAACGATATTAAATGTTTGGCTTTGGGATAACTCTAAATCTAAGGAATCAGATATCTGACAGAAATATTCATCAATTCAAATGAGATTATCTAATATTAATTCTCATATCTTTTTAGTCTCAAAGTCAAGATGAAAAGCAAACTCTCTAAATCAGAATGGTCTGGAGAGTGACTGCAGACCCACCTCCCCTACCGTCTTCACGCTTCTTTCCCAACCGGCCGTCCCTTACCCTTCCCAACCTTCACCTCACCTGGTGTTCTGCACTTGTTCCCTCTGCGTATGCTGGGCACACGGGAGTGTGACCACCTGCGGTGTTTATCTGCCTATATTCCACCACTGTTCAGGTTTATATGATCATTTTCATAAATGTCTAGAAGAGACGTTTTACCTTGTCTTATTTTACATCATTAGAGCCAAAAATCTTGCTCATAATTGATGCTTAAAAATATATTATTAAAACAAAATGAGCACATGTTTATGCCAGTCATTTGTATCTCCTGCTTCTACCTCAAGGGAGAAGAGGTTCTCTTTCTATCCCATTCTGCCCTTCTTCAGTTCTCTGGAGCTGAGGCCTCTTTGATTCTATTTCACTGATCTTCAGTGAAATCGCTTTTAAATGTGTTAACAGAGTCAAGTTACTTTCATTTGTTTCTTCTGGTAGAACAATGGTAATTTTCACATGGCTATCCTGACCCTAAAATGTAACCTCAACTTGCTCTCCCATTTCCTTATAAAATGGCAAAGTAGACAGTTTAACAACCACAGAGCAGAAGTTAGGTATTACTGCAAAACTTAAAACACATATTTTGTTTATCATCTTCAGATGGTATTACTTTTTTATTTTAAAAATTAAAAAACTGACAAAATAATAATGAAGACAAAATCAAAACAACAAAAAATTATTTCTTGGAGAAATTTTCAGGGAAATTTTAACTAAAGCAATTGCAAAAATTTCTAACACATCAAAATTCTTTCCATTTAGTAATAGCTAGCTTTGCTGACTTATAAGTGGAAAAAAATACTGGGCCTTTCCAAGATTTTCTTGAATTTTGGAGTTTTTAAAAGGAAATCATGGTATCTGTCATGGAATTGTTGGGAATAATAGGCATAACCTGTGACTCAGTAATCCAAAATTTCCTTCATAATCCCCAAATTGGGTGAGTATTATTTCAAGAAACCTAGATTTGGCAAGGCTTGCCTCTTGTTAAAATCATATTGGCTTATGGATTAATTCTTCCTTGTCCTTCCTTTTCCAAAAGTGTCTTGAACTGGTTTTAAAATATATATACTTAAAAAGTAGCAAATTGGGAAAATTGGAAACAAATAAAACATTTATATTACTGTATTAAATGTAATGCTAAATACAGTTTCATCAATTGAGTATCACTTGGTTTTTACAAAAGATGTTAAAAGTAGCTTTTCTGGATAGTGGAATAATAGATTAAGGTTTTGGTATCTCCCTTTCCCTTCTTTTTACTGTTTTGTACTTTATAACTTTTTTAGAATGAGCATGTATTAGATTCATGATCATAAAAGTAATTTAATTTGGCCTTGGTAGTCAAGATAAGAAAGGAAAATTAGTCACTAATATCATTAGAATGAGAAAAAAGGAAGTCTATCAGTTCCTTTAAGAAAATAACTGTCTAGAACTGGTTTTCCCCTGGATGGCTGAAAAGTATAATGTACTTTGACTTCAATATAATTTCTTAACAATAGCTAAAAACGCTTCCTATATTGTTGACCCCCAAAAGCAGTAGGTGCAAATGATTCTGTAATGGGCTAAGATTATGTGATTCTAGAATGGATGTTAGGTGGATGTATTTTATTTCCTTGGTCAATAAATCCTGAGAATTACTGTGAGATGAGTGAGCCCAGTGGAGTACAAGGCCCAGAAAATGGGGGTGGCGTGACATCACCAAGTTGGAGGAAGTGCTCAGAACTGGTTCTCATCTCTTGGAGAATCTGTGGGTGACAAAATGTGTGTTTAAAGTTTTGCAATAATGTTGTATAAACCTTCAGAATTGCTGCTGCATCTGGCCTGGATGGTTGATTTCCCCATTTTTATGCAGTTTAAACTATGGGCATATTGTAGTTACAGAAGAAGACAGGGATCAGGTAGAAGAAGTGAAATGAATCTCACTCTGACTTTGTTATGTGCAATGGTACTCACGGGTAAAGTAGTAAAGTGCTGTTAGTCAAGACGGTCACTCTTAGCGGTAACAGCAATTATTGCAAAACTGTCTGCCGTGTACCTTGACTCTCCAGTGAACTGCCTTCTCCAAGCGATTACCTGATGAATGCTGCTCATTTGAGACTCATGCTTCTCTTTTGACTGCCGTAAACACTGGCAGAAACACCTGTGTAATAAAGAAATGCAATGTTACCTTCTAACAACGGTATGCGAGACAATTATATATTTATTCAGCAAAATATCTAATGGAAACTTCATCTAATGACACCAGGAACTCTAAGTCAATCTCTTTGTTTAATAAATCAAGCCAAACATGGGCCCCAAACTTATGAAGTTGTTTGTGTTTTTTCTCTTCATCCTTTTGTTTTTTTTTAACCCCTGGTGAAATGCTGTCTGTGTTACATTTAGCTTTTGAAGCTAGTTGGGAATGAATGGAAATTCATTCAATCTGGTTTTAGAAGCATTTGCTTCAGGAGCAGGTCTTGTTTTTCGGTCATTAATGTGATGTCTCTGGACACTTAACCACCCTAGCCGAGAATGCACTCGCATACTCAGTTGTGTGATCTCGGTCTTTTCAATACAGGGAGGTGGGGGGTCTTTGCCGAAAACAATCAAAATAATTCTAGCCAAGAAAAACGCACTCACCAGAAAAGGTATTCTCTAGAACTAAATATCATGTCTGAACTGCACATGTTATCTATCAAACCAAATGTGTATCTTTTTACTGCCAAGGACGCTGGAGCTAAGCCAAAAAACAATGATGGGAACAACTTTGAACCTCCCACAGGGGAAAGTGGTTTAGGAAAGTTTTGGGTTCCTGTAAGCTAAAGTCCTGATGCTATATATAAGCTTAGGAAATAGTTTCTCAGCTGTACCAGGGCCCCAAACCAGACTCCGTCATGCGTATTTGTAACAACATTCGGAGATTTTACTGCCTGATTTCTTTATCTATCCCATGAAGATAGTGTGATTTAAAGTTGTTCCCGTCATTATTTTTTGACTTAGTTCCAGCATCTTGGGGAAGGAAAAGATACTTATTTGGTTTGTGATGTCATCTACCTGTGATGTTACTATGGTCCTAGTCGTGGTGTTACATTTCTAGACCTGAAATCTACAAAAGAAATCCCTTCTAATACTGACTTTCTATGATCCAGTGTGTGTGGTGTACGACAGGAAGTCACTTTGCCCAGGGTCATTGTGTTGGTCAACTCCCAAAAGGAACTCCCAGGACTCTAGATCTCAAGTTGCTGCTGATCTTTGTTTATATAAACTGTTTGGGATATGGTTTCTGGTGACACTTATGGCATAGGACCTGGCCAAATCAAAAACAACGTCAACTTGGTAGGCCTAGAGTTCTCTGAAGGAATAATTCTCTCTTTTGAAGAAGTTTATAAATTAAAGTTAGCTCTAAGATGAAGTAGAGAACTTCCTTTTCCCAAGTGCTTCCAACCACGTCCGAGCTACCCCTGATTTGGTATTGGCCTCTCAGAAACCCTCTGAGACAAGTAAAAAGGAGGAATACATCCTACCATATCTTTGGGGTATGTGTCACAAGAATTGGTGGGCCAGTAGCACGGTGTAATCGATGTTCTTCCACTAGACTGCTTTTGCTTTCTGTTGATTTAATTCATTGCTGAAATTTTAATGCCTCTTGATGTCTACAAATGAAGAGTCATCTGGCATTTTAATCAATATGTTAGGGCTATTTAATTAAACCCATCACCTGACCTATTTTGAAATGAGAGATACATGGTGTCTTTGACTTACAAAAGCCAACTTGTGTAAAAGTTAAGGACATTACTAGATGCTGGGCTAAACACTTATACCTGATCCAGAATCACGTGCTGTTTGAATTGCATGACCTGAGTACCTGGGCTTCAGTGCCTCTCTGCAATTGCACTGGAAATGAAAGCTAATCTCAGAGAAATGCAATGTTTTTCTGAGTTCCAACTCTTTTTAATTTGAAAAATAGCACAAAATTGTCTATATTTGTGGGGTGCCATGGGGAGTTTTGATATATTTTTGAGTTAAATGTTCCACTATCTGGACAGATATGAGTCAGATTAAAAGTATCAGAATATTCATTGAGTTTTCTGGAGCCTCTCAATTCTGGCTACATTTTTCCATCATGGGGTATTATCAGCTCTGTTTAAGTAATGTAACTCTCTGCAGTAACCAAAGATGCCAATTTTGCCAGCCTCTTGAAGTCATCTGGAGGCTGTCTGCTACCTTGGAGGTCACAGCCGGTCAACATCCCAGAGGAGGATGACAAAACTTACTGGGAAAGCCAGTACTCCGTAAACAGGATTTTGCTCCTTTTTTTGCGTGTTCTTTTCCTCTTATCCTCAGCACAAGGAAAGATCAGTCATCCTGGGTGGCACAAAGAAAAGCCCAGCAAGTTTTCCCTGCTCAGCCAAACTGCAGCTCCCACTGAGGCTTTCACTTCCTTCTCAATTTCTGAGCGAGGGTGGGACTGACCACAGGGGTGAGGAGGTGCCAGGAAGGCCACGGAGGACAAAAGGCTACTTTGTGCTGTTTCAGTGGAAATTTCAATGTCACAGAGCAGACAGGAATCAGCACATAAAGTTGCATATGTCGGAGAATACACCCCTTGTCTCTTGAGCCTTAGAGCCACCCGGAGACCGACTCTGGTCTATACTTGAGTAAATCCATAGGGATTAATTGACTGGCCCATGATCACACATACTAAATGCCAGGTAGGGAGCATAAACTTCTTTCTTTTCACGCTAAATCCTTTCTGTGTGCTCCTATGCCCATGACTATCAATTTCTACAAGTCCTTTTCCTACTCTCTAGTTCAATGCTATTCTCCCACACAGCAGAAAGGATGCTCCCCTGCAAAGCTGTCTGAATTACTCCTCCCTTTCATAAGGTATTAGCAGAAAAATAATTAATTCAAAAAATATTCATTGCCAGGTGTGATGATGCATACCTGTAATCCCAGCAGTCTTCGAGGCTGAAGGAAAAGCAACACATGTTTAAGCTCAGCTTGGGCACTTTAGTAACTTAATGAGTCTTGTTTCAAAAATAAAAATGTTTTAAAAACTGGAGATGCAGTCCAGTTTGCAGGCCCTGGATTCCTTTGCTAGTACATTCCTACATACAAAACTTAACCAGGAAAAACCTCCCCACCCACTATGAAGCTTACAACTTCATGGAAAAATACAGAGAATACATAAAACAAACAAGTAAAGTATATAGCACATTGAACAATGATCTTGGCAATGGAGGAAAATGAAGCAGGAGATGGAAACAGGGCATGTTTGTCAGGGAAAATATGGGCCATGTGCTACCTGCAGGAAGAGCAGTGTAGAAAAAAAAATCAAGTGCCAAGGACTGCAGCACTGTGGGGAGAAGGAGGCTGGTGATCGAAGAACAGTAAAGTGGATTTCAGAGTATCAGAGGAGGGATGAGGATGTACTAGTTCAGTGGTAGGTGAATTGCTTAGCATGTGAGATGTCCTAAATTCAATTCTCAGAATCACACACACAAAAAATGAAGAAGCAATCCTCAGAATCACAAAAGAAAAATAAAGAAAGGAAAAAAGAGGAAGGAAGGAAGTGGGGAGGGAAGAAGGGAAGAAGGAAGAAGAAAGGAAGAAAGAAAGAAAGAAGAAAAAGAAGGAAGGAAGGAAGGAAGGAAGGAAAAAAGAAAGAAAGAAAAAGAAAGAAAGAAAGAAAGAAAGAAAGAAAGAAAGAAAGAAAGAAAGAGAAGGAAGAAAGAAAATCAAGAGCCTCGTCATGGCCCACATAGACTTTGGCTACAACTGCAACCTGAATTAGGCAGCACATGGACAGGAAGGCGAGGGGAAGTAAAAAAAAAAAAAAAAAAAATCTTAGGAAGTGATATGTAAGTGTATCATTTCCCCAAGATAAATGTAATTATTATGTATCAAAAACACCTACCAATGAAAAGAATGATATAATTTGTTTTGACATATTTTGAAACACCCAGGTTTAGATAAACTCAAAGGTTGAGAAAGCAGCAGCAGCAGATTGATTAGAAAGCTACGCAACAACCTAGGAGAAAGATCATGGTGGTTTGGCAGGAGATAGGATTGACTCTGAATATACTGACAGAGCAAAGAGGATACACTGATGAACAGGATGCAAGATGTGTCACACTGGTGGATGGAGAACAGGACAGGATGGATAGTATGCCTGGGATTTTGAGCTGGAATTTATAGCGTTACCTAAAGAAACATTAACAGTACTACCTGAAGAGTTCTAGAAAATCTTGGGAACTCACTTTTCACGCCCACGTAAATGGGAGTAAATAATTCCCCAACCCACAGCGCTCAAGTAAGTTCTGCAAATGTTGATGTACTTGGATTGTGCCAGGTGACCTTGTGCAAGTTAAATAACCTAAGCAACCAAAGAGGAAGGCCGTGCTGAGATCAAAGTTGGAATAGTTTGAGAATAAATTAAAAATTTAGAAAAGATGAAAACATTATAGCTGTGAGGAAATAATTTTGAAAGCTTTATTTGAAAAGATAAAATCTTTTTTTTTATTAGTTGATAAGAACCACAGAGCAATGGTGGCGAACCTATGGCACACATATTATTATGTTTTTCCTTTAAGACAAAAGATGTTAATGTAGTTCTTTTTTTAAAATTAAGAACCCCAGTATTCAGGTTTAATTGCAGTGTTGGCACTTTGAGATAAATAAGTAGGTTTGGGGTTGCAGTTTGACCTTCATTCTCTGAAATGTTTGCTATCACTGCCATAGAAGAAACTTGGTTCAAGAAAAATGTTTTAACCAAAGCTGATACATTCTAGTAGTGATATGGATTTAGTTCTCTTTGAACCTAGACTTGTGAATTATCTTGGTAGTGATGGCTGAATACCCATAAGGAAAAGAAAGCTCTTGCATTGTTTCAGTTTCAATTTTAGTTAAGCACAAAAGGCTTCTTTTGTTTTCCTGTCTGAGTAGTTTTACCATCACCCTGGAATTTTTCTGAAATTTTACCAAGAAATGTGATCATATGCTTTGAAGTGTCTCAAAAGTTTACAACTTTCCAGTTTTGTTTAAACACTCAAAGCCTGAGCTACCTCTTTCTAATTCACAAGTTCAGAAAAGCACCTGTAATTGAGAGTTCGTGAGTACGGGAGGGTTGCTGAGCACCTCCCAATGGTGTGAGGGAAGGGGTTACAGAGGAGCACGCAAGAGTGTTGCTCTGCGTGCCGATCCGCCTTCAGCAGAGGTGCATGCTTAGAATTACCCTCTTCATTTCTATACCACCTTCCCAAGTCCCATCAAACATACCAGACCTAAATCCAAGTGTCTCAATATTCTGAAAACTAACCGATAAGCCATTTAATAAGTCACTTTAAGTTAAATTATTAGTGATGAATAAGAATTAGTCCCAGGGCTTTCAAAAGCCTCTGAATTTAAAGAGGAGCTCCAGAAAGGCAATGGCCTAAAAAAGTGCTGACTGATCAGTAAGTGTTTAGGCACTGTGAAGGTAGTAGTCTAGGAAGAAATTACTTTGAGAAAGACTCATGTAACGTCAGAAGGTAATATCTTTTGCCTATACTTTAATCCATCAGAGTTTAATATTGTTTCCAAGACCATTTCAGAGAATCTTTGAAATTAAAATCATTGTCATAAGAGCACCAATATACGATTTATGCTTCTTACTCCAATTCTCTTTCAAGAATACCCTGGAATTTTCTAGAAGCTATTTGGTTGATGATGTTGACTATACGCTGACAGCTAAGAGAAGGAAGGCTGGTCTATTTTTGTTTTTAAAATTTATTCCAAATGTGGTATCTATCAAGAGACACAGTTCTCTTTACAAAATTGTTCTCTGAGGGTCTTTGATAGTTTTACATGCGTAATGGGATCCTGAGATCACAATGTTTTTTTTTTTTTTTTTTTTTTTGGTTTTTCTCTGGTACCGGGAACCGAACTCACGACCTTGCGCTTGCCAGGCAGGCGCTTTTTGCCGCTGAGCTAAATCCCCAGCCCCTGATCACAATGTTTAAAAATTGTGGCATTTAGTTATCTTGTCTCATCCAGCACCAGCTCAGTTGAATACCAGAAATATAGCAAAATATAGAGTGATGATTCCTAGTATATGAAAAGCTGTGTGAATCAATCCATTTGCGAAAGCTGGTATCTCAAAGAGGAACCAAAAAAGCAAACAGACAAAGTGCCCCACAACCAATGGCATCAGGTCAAAAGGAGACAGGCATGGAATGTAAGGAACTCACACTCCAGATCAGGGACTGTTGGAGATTCTGTGACTCATCAGAAATATCAACTGCATCTTTCAGACAGCAGGAACAGAAAGGAGGGGAGGGTATCACAGGTAGAGAGGAAAATACAAGAATTACAGTTCACTTCTACATTTTCCAAGAGAATACCATAAATCAAATATTTAAAACTGATACCTTTAATTGTTCAGTATTTTAATACAAATGTATGAAATAATACAGAATTAAATAACATGAAAGGCTTAAATATTCAACTCAACAGTGAAAACGAACATACATTTTAATTCCTACGTCACTAAATAAAGACAGAGGAAGCAAAAGACAATGAAAGAAAACCCACTAATTGGTCTTATGATTATTTATGAAAGCAACATTGTTCCATTAGTTAATAAATATGTTTAAAACAAAGGGAATGTATGGTCATATTTACCTCTTCCACTTCTGTGAAAAGTTAACTCATGTACAAAGAAGCCAGGGGAGACAAAACATGAATTGGCTGACAGCTATACAGGGAAATCTCTTAAATGTTTTCATAATATATTTTCATTATATTAGGCTGACTTCAGAATGACCTAAAACAGGGGTGGGGTCATATTATGAGACAAAAAGACAGGGAAGCATGCTTCTTTTCAATTGTGAGTTATTGTCTAACCCTAACAATATTTATCCTTCTATAAAAATAAGTTAAATAGATACGGCTGTCAATGTTATTTCAAGATACATCCTGTCCTTGACAAAATAATGAAGCACATGAAGACTGGCAGGGAATCCAAGGGTTCTAGCAAGGTCACCAATTAGCAAAACAGTGAGCAGGGAGGGATTGGACTAACTGACAAATCCCGGGGAAACAGACTCACTGACCTAAGAACAAAGAAGAGACATACAAGAGACAGAACACCAGCAGAAGGCAAAAGGTAGCCTCAGAAAGGTTCTTCAGACCCTATTGTATTCTTCTCTCTTTTCACATCTTCCTTGGCTTCTCTTGTTTGCCCATAACTGCATCTATTCTGAGAGCTGTAAATTATTTGGTCTAACTCCTTTCTATTCAGGGTATGGACATGTAAGCTCATTGAGGTAAAGTCACTAGCGTCGGGTTCCCACCTATTGGAGCCTTGGTCGGCCTGTGAGCTCAGCGCTCCAAATTTTGAGTCCAGTGCCCTTTCCATATCAGTGCTGCACTGCTTTGCAAAATCAAGTCCTACAACAGACCTGACAGACAAATGACTTCATGCTGGAATTCAAACACTGCGTAGCTTAAATGGTTGTAAAAAGTCGTAGTTTTCTTAAAACATTTGCTTCTGCCTTGTTTGCACTTCTAGATCCACTGCAGAATGACCTGTTTTCTTCCTGCTTTGCTCTTTCTTCAAATTCAAGTAGACCAGGGAAAATCTTTCATGGTTCTGTGTACGTCCTGTACGGCTCTGGATAAAAGAAAGACCAATGTATTAACTTTTCTGTATTTTTTCTGCTCTTTCATTTTACTTCTTCTCTGTTTGCTTATTCCTTTTATTTATTTATTTATTTTTGGAATTACATCAGTTCTTAAAGCTGCAAAACAAATTTTCTGGTCTAAATGCTTTATACTTTGGATGGGGATGTTGAATATTTGTAATTTTTACCTTAGTATATTTTAAACCAAAGGAATAAGAAAAGTAGAAATCTCCTAGAATATAGGTAAAGATAAGCATGTAGATATTTCTAATCCAGTGTAATGTGAGTAGACTATGACTTTCTTTAAAATGGCATGGACAGTGCCAGGAAATAATGGTTTGAAGAATTACCTAAAACCACAAGTAAAGAGACATGTTTAACAATGCCATCTTATCTAAATGCACTTTCTTGGTAATACCTAGAGCTTTGTTTCTTATGGATAATTTGCTAGAAAGTAGGATAGGAATGGTAATAATGAAGATAGAGAGTTTTCAAGGAGTATTGCTTTTCTAACACAGAAACTGGGAAGATGCAGGCCTTCCTTAAAGGCATTTGGCAATGAAATAAAATACCTACAATTTTATCTTGGCATTACCTGTCACCCGCTGTCTAATCTGTATCAGGAATGCAAAGTTCTGCATATTTCAGAAGGAAAACAACATTTGTAACATCAGCTATGGTTTCCTCTTCAAGTTAGTATCTTTTATTGTGTGCTATACATTATTTCCTTATAGACATATTCTTATGTTCAATAATATATCCCTATTTGTTACTTGTGGCTTCTCTACTCTGGTCTATAATTTCCAAGTGAATGGCAATGTCCTATATTAGTCACTGCAGTACAACTCATAATAATTATACTCTGAAAAACTTTTTACTAAATAATTGTAAAATGAGTAAACAACTTCTGTGATGCATGGTTTCATCTTCAGTAAGATGAAAATAGCAACATCTTCCTTATAGATTGGTGTGAGAATTATATTTAATAATTTTTTTCTAGGAAGTCTAGTTCCTTTGTCATATGAAAACAAGTTTAAATATTTAAGCACATTCTGTCTGTCTTTCCTATCCAACCACATTCCCATCTCCAATGTTTTCTTCTCTAAAATCTAAGTGCTTTTGTCCCTCATTAGTAATACTATTCATTTTGGATTACCAAAGAGCAACCAAAGAATTTATAGTTTTTTGTCTGACCTAACAACTTACTGACTAAAATTCAGAATAATTATCCAAATGACAATATGATTTTCTTTAAAAAGCATTAAGATAAGTTGTTTTTTTCCCCCCCATCTTTCAATCTCTTAACCCTGTGTTTAATTGCTTGATTTTTGCATTTGGTTAAAAAAAGTTCCTCCTTTTTCTAAAATAAAATTTCTACACTAAATGTATCTATATGCTCCCCTCCATCCAAAGGGGAGCACTCATGCCTAGAGAGTGATTTTTTTTGTGTGTGTGGTCTTTGAATATCTGCTCCCTTTGTAAAAGTGGATCATCAATGAACCACCAAGAAACCATAAGGTGTGTTTAAGGTATATAGAATAAAAGAAGAAGGAATTGTGTAAAGGACAGGAGGGCAGCTAAGTCATGGTAAGGATAGGAGAAGCTAGAGGAAAATACATGCGTCAGTGCTGCCAGGCATTCTAGGGCAGCTCTGGATCCATAGCCACTTGCAGCCAGATGTTCTTCCTGACATCTGGCAGTTTTGGTTTCCTGGAAACCTATTCACTTACATTTCCACAGTAGTAATTTCCTTCTTTCTACCCTCTAACTTGTGCTGACTTTAGTAAATAACTGTTTTTCTCATCCTAACTCCAAACCGCCCCCAAAGCCAAAGGTCTAACCAAAATAGTTCACTTTCTTCAGAAAAAAACCGATAACATTATAATTGTAGGTCTTACAAGATTATGTCAGTACCCTTAGGGTTTTGGCACATGTATTTTCTGATCCTGACTCCCATGTCAGCTTATTTTCACTCTAAACTCTGCTCAAAACTATTAGTGAAATGGCTATTGAGTTCACCTCTCCAAATACTCATACCCATACATTCGGATTATTTCTGAGCTCTTCCACTTCAAAGCCTGCCTGCTGTCATTCCACGAAACCCCATTTACCCTTTAAACTTGCCCCTCCTTTATTATGTGTACCATTCACGAAAATATACATGGATGAGTCCAAATGGGACCCTTAAATTTAGTAATAATAGGAGCTAACATTTATGGAAACTTACTACGTTGCATAGGTATGCTGGAGACCTATTGGCTTACGTTGGTGGTTAAATTGTTGGTAGTTTGAAATTAACCATGGTGGGAATATTTGTACCACAAAGGGTAGCAAAAGAAAAACCCCATCAGCTTTCCCTCAAGCTGGTTTCCCAGCATGTTACTGGTATTAAGCACTTTAGAATTGTACATCATCACTTTTTAATTTTCACAACGTTCTTATGAGAAAGTGAAAATTACCATCCCCACCTTCCAAACAAAGAGAGGAGTAGGTTAAACGGCTTACCCTAAGCTACACTGTGTATTTGCAGAGACAGAATTTGATCCAAATCCCTGACTAATTGGCCATAGTTGTAATTAGAAATGACTGAAAGGAAAATAACTAATTTTGTACGCCCTTTATAATTATGCTTGCTGAGACTGACAGTTAAACAGAAATTAAATATTATATTGAATTTTTAAATTATTCCTGGAGTCTTGGTTAAAAGAATTTTAGACAAGAGAAATAAGTTCAAAAGCTTTATCATATAATACAGTGACTAAAGTAACAATGTCTTTTTTACTTGAAAACTACTGAAAGAATAGATTTTGAGCATTTTCACTATAAAAAAATCAGTACATGAAAAACTGTAGTATATTAGCTTGATGTAGCCATTCCACAATTTATATATATAGAGAGAAGCATCATGTTGTATGTCATAAATATATATATATAATTTTTATCTGGCAATTAAAAAAGAATACAAACTAATGATGCATACTTTTAAAGATCAAAAGAAACTATTTGTAGTATTGAATACAAAATCTTTAAAAGACTTACAAAACAAAAGGCTCACCCCTTCTCTTTGTTTTATAACTATGGAAGAAAGTTGGAGAATTTACAGGCAGTGACCAAAATGCTCTCAGGACTAGACATAGTTTGCAGTCAGTGAAATTCTGTCTTGCTTAGTAAGAAAACCAAGAGGTTCTTTTGTAGTGACATCCTCTCCCTACTAGAAGTATCTGTCATTATTAGTCATGAAATGCAAGATTCAACATAAAGTGATTTTTGCAGAGCTTGTCTTGCACGTTTGTACTGCAAAAACTCATTTGTTCCTTATTTCCTGGAGGGAATTGTATTTTTAACAATATGATTATTAGAAGGAAAGTAAATTCATTATTTAAATTATATTGAACACTCAGGATTTAATTCTTTTTTTTTTTTTTTGGTTTTTCTCCGGTACCGGGAACCAAAGTCATGACCTTGCGCTTTCCAAGCAGTCGCTTTTGCCACTGAGCTAAATCCCCGGCCCCTCAGGATTTAATTCTTAATGTTCTTTATGTTTCTTACAATTTCTGTACTTGATGTAGTTAGTTAAATCTATATATTTTATTACTGTTTTTTAAAAAAGAACTATTATGAGGGAATGGTTCTAATGTATATGGGCTGTTAGAATCAATTTAGTTCTATAGGTATGAATTTTAAAGAATTTTTAAAATTATATAGGAAATATTGAGAATCTTAAAATCAGTAACAGCTTCGTAACGTAATTCTGCAGGCACTAGGGACACAGAAATCTTCATTTTAATGAGCTGTTATAAATGGAGAAAGGTCAATGCAGTTATGCCCAATATCACTATATAGGGATAAATATAATTTTTTATCTTGCTGTTCCTTGGCAAATTCAGTGGACTTACGTATCTAGACTAAGATATTAAAAGAAGTCAGAATTACTTGTCTCTGTAAAGAGACGCAATTAGAGAGAAGTGGGACATATGTAAGAACTGAAATCCAAGCTCAAATAAATGGGTTTTGTGAATTTACAGTTAGTGCTGACTAACTGGAGAAAGGGGAAAGCAGAAGTAAGACTTTGGCATTATAGATCTGAGACAAGATGTAACCTTGAAACATCTTTTAAGATGAAGTCTTGCCTTATTGGAAGAAGATGGGAAATGAATAAGAAAGGCAAAGTGATGTGTTCAGAGGCTGTTCGAGCAGGTTCTGACGTTCTGTGATACAGTGTCACTAAGACCAAAGCCAAGGCCACGGAATTATAGAAATGAAATGCTTGCACTGGAGGGTGAGTTAACAGCTGTCCCTCTATGCAGCTCATACCCACTCTTTTGTAGCATTTGTGGTAGCATATGAATGGCCTCCCTACAGGTCCGCATTCTAATCCTAGAAACCTGTCAGTGTGTCATTTTATAGGATAAAGTAAAAATCCTAAAAGGGAGAGATTGCCTTGGATTACACAAATAGGCCAATGTAATCACTTGAGTCTTTATAACAGAGCAAGGGGAGCAGGAGAGACAGAGACGGATTCAGTACAGGACAGACCTCATTGGCCTTTGGTAGCTTTGCAGACAGAATGCATAAAAGCACAAGGAATTTCTAGAACTGGATAAAGAAAGAAAAAGGTTCTCCCCTAGAGTCCCTAGAAAGGAATGTGGCCTTGCAGATACCTTGATTTGAACCCAGAGAGATCCATGTTGGATTTGACTTCCAGAAGTGTATGACAATAAATCTGTGTTGTAAGTCAGTAAGTGTCAAAACGTGGTAAAGAATCAATAAAACATTAATACAGCATCTATTATGTTTCCTCCTTGGTTAAGTCACACTAAGTGCTTTCAGAAAGTGACCCAATCTTTTCCAGCTTAAAAACCATTAAGTCTGCCTCTCCTTTTAGTGTGGATGAAAGTTTGAATCTTTCCAGAGCCAAATTTTCAATCTGGTCTTAAGTCAACCAAAAGAAAACATCCATTCAAAATGAGTTCAAAACGTTAGGTTGATTTGTCTATGATGATCTTTTCCAAAGTGAGACGTTTTAAATTGTGCCTAAGAAACATGTAATCATGGGTGGGCTGACTAATGAGAAGTGAAAGATTATTCTCAACCTCAAATTTAACTTCATAGCCCCTATGGGTAAGGCAGAAATATATGACATCACTGAGTTTTAATGGACAGAATTATTATGACATGCTGGAAAATTTCCCTAGGAAATTTTAATTCTTCTTTACTTTCTATTTCAGTCATAAAGCACTAGATTTACAAAGGGAAAAAGCATATTCTCTGAAAGTTTATTAGTCTTATTGGGATCGTCTCCAGGGAAATAATTATGATGATCCCATCAGGAATGGTGCAGAAATTAATTCATCATATGTTCGCCAGAGTGTAGCCTTACAGCTAAAAAAGCCCCTATATCATACTTCTGTTAAAATACACTCATAAGAAGTGTAAAAGGGAGAGTAACTTCCATGCAAAGACCAGGCCATTCATTACAGATTATTCCTTCAGGCAGAATTTATAAATTTGCTTATGTTTTTATGGGCAATGAATACTGACTATGATCTATGAGAGGCTTTGTTTTGATCACTGAGCAAACAAAAAGTTGCCCTTACTTGACAAATTTTGTTACTGGCTATTGGAGAGTTCCACAAAGATAAATTCAAGTATATATTTATCTTCCTCCTCTTTTTCATCTCACTACCACTAAGTCATCTTTCTCCTTTCCTTTGCTATCTCCCCCCCCAACCTCCTTTTAGCTCCACTTTGCACTTCTCTTGATATTCACATCATTATTTCTCAGGTCATCAGGTTCAGAGCCCTGGTGTCATTTTTGGTTAATCATGTTTCCTTGGTCATCAAAAAACTTTTATGTTTTCCAAAGATGATAGAAAGAAAAAGAAAAAGAAACAAAAGTAAAGGTGAGGAAAATAAAAGTTAAATGTATAGGACTATTCACTTTTCTCAGAAATTAGTCCTCAGAATGTATTAGTTGAAGAAATAAAAGTATCACTATGTCCTATCACTTTTTCTTTCTCACACTTTTGTGTATAACTTAAGGTTTTATCATAATGAAATGCTATTTCCAGTTGTAACCATGGCTGTTCTACTGTCTTGTATTTCTTTGTTGAAAGCAACTGTCAATGAGTCCTTGGTTGATAAGCATTGCATGTCTATATCTGTTTTCATGAGAAACCACTTTGAAGATATCAATATGTAATACAACAAGCATTGTTAA